CACCTCGTGCGGGGCTCACCTGGGCCAGGTCGGGTGGGGGAAGGGCGCTCTCCAGGCGGAGCAAAAATTCCAGGAAAAGATTCCCGAGGGAATTCCGGAAACGCGGCCCGTACTCCTGGGGGGAACTGGGATGGACTGGGAGGGAACTGGGAGGGACTGGGAGGGACTGGGATGGACTGGGAGGGGACTGGGAGGGAACTGGGATGGACTGGGAGGGAACTGGGATGGAACTGGGATGGACTGGGAGGGACTGGGAGGGAACTGGGATGGACTGGGAGGGACTGGGAGGGAACTGGTTTATACTGGGATGGAACTGGGAGGGACTGGGATCAAACTGGGATGGACTGGGAGGGAGTTACCGGTCCATACTGGTCCGTACTGGTCTCACCTCCAGGAAGGGCTGCAGGCCCCGCCCACTTCCCAGAATTCCCAGCACCTGCTCCCGGAAGTTCTCCTCGGCCACGGCCACCAGGGGGCGCCCCTGCAGCGTCTGGGGGCGGGGCCTGGCTCAGACCACGCCCCCTTCTTCCATATATGGGTGCAGTGGCTTGGCCACACCCCTTTTCCCATATATGGGTGTGGTGGCTTGGCCACGCCCCTTCTTCCATATATAGGGTGGGGTAGGATTGGCCACGCCCCCACTGGGAGGGGTTAAAGGGAGTCCAGGGCTCCCAGTATGGCTCCAGCTCAATTCCAGTTCATCCCAGTTCATCCCAGTTCATCCCAGTTCATCCCAGTTCATCCCAGTTCATCCCAGTTCATCCCAGTTCATCCCAGTTCATCCCAGTTCATCCCAGTTCATCCCAGTTCATCCCAGTTCATCCCAGTTCATCCCAGTTCATCCCAGTTCATCCCAGTTCATCCCAGTTCATCCCAGTTCATCCCAGTTCATCCCAGTTCATCCCAGTTCATCCCAGTTCATCCCAGTTCATCCCAGTTCATCCCAGTTCATCCCAGTTCATCCCAGTTCATCCCAGTTCATCCCAGTTCATCCCAGTTCATCCCAGTCTCACCCCGAGGGCGTGGCCCGCCCCTGGCCCCGCCCCCTCCGGGAAGAGCCAATCCAGCGCGTCCAGCACGGCGGGGGAGGGGCCGAGCTCCCGCAGCAGTGACGTCACCACCTGTGGGGGGGCGGGGCGGGGCCAGGGTGGGGGCGGGGCCTAGATGTCCCCTCGCCCATATTAGGAAATAGGGGCGGGGTTTAAAATTGTGGGCGTGGCCTGCGCCTCTCAATGCCCATGTAGGGATGCAGGGGTGGGCGTGGCTTTTCACAAAGGGGGCGTGGCTTGAGCATCCACACCCCAAATGGGCATGGAATAGGAGTGGGCGTGGCCTGGGAAAAGGGGCGTGGCTCATGGAAAAATGGGCGTGGCCTAAACCTTTCCGTGCCCGCAGTGGGTGGGCGTGGTCTAGATACAAAGGGGCGTGGCTTAGCCTTAAAGGGGCGGGGCTTAAATCACTTATAACCCAAATGGGCGGGGTTTGAATGGAGTGGGCGTGGCCTAAACCTTCAATACCCTCAATGGGCGGGGGGTTTGAATGGAGTGGGCGTGGCTTAGCCTTAAAGGGGCGGGGCTTAAATCGCTTATAACCCACAATGGGTGGGGTTTAAATGGGTGGGCGTGGCCCAGCCGTGAGCGGGCGTGGCTTAGCCTTAAGGGGCGGGGCTTAAGGCCATTGTAAGTCACAGTGGGTGTAGTTTTTGGGTGGGCGTGGCCTAGACACGAGTGGGCGTGGCCTAAACCTTCAATACCCTCAGTGGGCGGGGTTTGAATGGAGTGGGCGTGGCTTACTCTTAAAGGGGCGGGGTTTAAACCCATTATAATGCACAGTGGGTGTGGTTTGGTGGGTGGGCGTGGCCTTGCACCGAGTGGGCGTGGCCTGGCACCGAGTGGGCGTGGCCTACCTGTGCCCGCAGCCCCAGGCTGAGCCGGGCGCGGTGCCGGGGCCGCAGCAGCGCCGGGGCCCCGCCCCCGACGGCCTCCAGCAGCGCCAGGAGCCGCCCCCAGCCACGCCCATCCGGGCCACGCCCACCCGGGCCACGCCCCCTCAGCGCCCACCAGGCCCCGGCCATGGCCAGGCGGAGGGAGGGGGAGGGGCTGGGTGGGGGAGGGGAGGGAGAGAGAGAGAAACCAGTTCAGCCCAGTTCAGCCCAGTTTATCCCAGTTCATCCCAGTTCAATCCCAGTTCAGCCCAGTTCATCCCAGTTCATCCCAGTTCAGCCCAGTCCATCCCAATTCATCCCAGTCCATCCCAGTTCAGCCCAGTTCATCCCAGTCCATCCCAGTTCAGCCCAGTTCAGCCCAGTCCATCCCAGTCCATCCCAGTTCAGCCCAGTTCAATCCCAGTTCATCCCAGTTCAAACCAGTTCATCCCAGTTCATCCCAGTTCAGCCCAGTTCATCCCAGTTCAATTCCAGTTCAGCCCAGTTCATCCCAGTATGGCCCAGTACGGCCCAGTCCCCTCCCAGACCATCCCAGTCCATCCCAGTCCTTTCCAGTTCCCCCCCGGCTCACCTGACGTCACTCCCGCCCATCCCGCGCCGTTTCCCGCGCTCTCCGTGACGTCACTTCCGCCGCGGCTCCGCCGGTTCCCGGGACTCTCCGGTAGCGGCGGCGGCGGCGGCGTCGCGCCCCGAGTGACGTCATCGCTCCGCGCCGGCGCCCGAACCCGCGCTCGTTCCCCATTGGCGGCCGCTTCGGCCAATCCCGAGCAGCCCCGCTCCCCTTGGCCCCGCCCCTTAAATGACGTCACTGAAGTCGGGTTTGGTTTTTTTTTTTAACTGCGCTTTTATTGGAGGGCGGGAAAGTGACGTCATCCGGACCGGTGACGTCACGGGGAGGGTTGAGGACGGGACTGGGGCGGTCCCAGTGCTCCCAGTATGGACCAGTGACCCCTCCCAGTGCTCCCAGTATGAACCAGTACAACTCCCAGTCCCGCCCAGTCTGTCCCAGTTCCCTTCCCAGTGCTCCCAGTATGGCCCAGTGACTCCTCCCAGTGTTCCCAGTGTTCCCAGTATGAACCAGTATGAACCAGTATGACTCCCAGTCCCTCCCAGTTCCTCCCAGTCCCTCCCAGTTCCCCTCCCAGTGCTCCCAGTATGAACCAGTGACTCCTCCCAGTGCTCCCAGTATGAACCAGTATGACTCCCAGTGCTCCCAGTATGAACCAGTATGACTCCCAGTCCCTTCCAGTGTTCCCAGTATGAACCAGTATGACTCCCAGTCCCTCCCAGTCCCTCCCAGTCCCTTCCAGTCCCCCTCCCAGTGCTCCCAGTATGAACCAGTATGACTCCCAGTGCTCCCAGTATGAACCAGTACGACTCCCAGTCCCTCCCAGTCCCTTCCAGTCCCCCTCCCAGTGCTCCCAGTATGAACCAGTATGACTCCCAGTGCTCCCAGTATGAACCAGTACGACTCCCAGTCCCTCCCAGCCCCACCCAGTTCCTCCCAGTTCCTCCCAGTCCCCCTCCCAGTGCTCCCAGTATAAACCAGCACGACTCCCAGTCCCTCCCAGTCCCTCCCAGTTCACCCCCCCGTGCTCCCCCCGCGCCTCCCCCTCCTCCCCCTCCTCCTCCCGCCAACCCCGCGCGCGTTCCCGCCATTCCCCAGCGCGTTCCCGCCACTCCCGGCCCCTCCCCCGCCGCTCCCAGTGCTCCCAGTGCTCCCAGTATGAACCAGGAACTGGAGGCTGCCGTGCAGCGGGGGGAGGGAGGCGCTCTCCAGAACAGCCGCCAGGCGGCGCTGGCCCGCCCGCAGCGGCGTCACTGATTGGCTGAGCCGGATGGTCTGCCCCGCCCCCACCGAGCTGCGGGGAAACCAGTATGGACCGGTATGGACCAGTATGGACCAGTATGGACCAGTATAAACCGGTATGGACCAGTATGGACCAGTATGGACCGGTATGGACCAGTATGGACCAGTATGGACCAGTATGGACCAATATAAACCAGTATGGACCAATATAAACCAGTATGGACCACTATGGACCACTATGGACCGGTATGGACCTGTATAAACCAGTATGGACCGGTATAAACCAGTATGGACCGGTATAAACCGGTATGGACCAGTATAAACCAGTATGGACCAGTATGGACCAGTATGGACCAGTATGGACCAGTATAAACCGGTATAGACCAGTATAAACCAGTATGGACCAGTATAAACCGGTATAAACCAGTATAAACCAGTATGGACCAGTATGGACCAGTATAAACCAGTAACCCCAAATCCCCATTTTCCTTCTTTTTAACCCTTTTTTGGCCATTTTTAACCCATTTTTTGACCATTTTTAACCCTTTTCTCCCCGGATTTTTAACCCTTTAACCCCTCCCAGTCCCTCCCAGTCCAAACCAGTCCAAACCAGTCCAAACCAGTATA